GTTTTGGGTTTTGGGTTTAAGGTTTCCGCAGAGTCGAACATGACCACAAAGGGAAACATCATCGTCCGCGTGGACATGGTGGCGGTCTTCAGACACGAACTTGAAACACGCCCATCACGCAACCTCCCTCCCTCTCCGCATGTGAGTGTAAGCATGTGCACCAGCAGTGTATACACGTACATATGTCTATATATATATATATACATACACAGAACTATGCAGACATATGTAGACAGAGACATATGCATACACCTGTCTCAAAGAATGCCTGAGGCAACCCCGTCCCCTGGCCATGGCGAAATCGCGACTCCAAACGGCAAGCTTGAAGAATCTCTGACATTACAGCCGGCCCACGTGTTGCAAACTCTTCGATCCCACTGATCTGTGATATGGCCACCTTGAAGTGGTCTGGAAATCGGTGGCAAGAGAAGCACGGCTCGTTCCAGTAGGCTTGGGGTGCGGCCATACATGATTTCTCCGAAGATATATCTGATGTCAGGCCAAGGAACCTGTGAGTCAATGAATGCAGCGCATCAGAGCCGGGATGACATCTGCCGTGCTTGGCATGTTGCACGCCCAGCACCACCTGCTTCGTCTAGGCTTCGGACTTCGCTGCCGATCTTCTCAGAGTTGTTGAGGTAATTACACAGCACCTGCTGGACTCTGTGCCAAGCCGGGCTAGGGAGCTCAGCGTGGAGCAGTGAGCCAGGACACTGTCCATTGCGAACCGACATGTCACATCGACCTGCCTGGGCGCAGATCGTGAGATCGCCGTCGTTGAAGGGATACTTCTTGGACCATCCCTGGGGTCCAAACTTGATCCTGGCACAAACGCGAGAGCTTGCTGTTTCGGGCCCTTTTGGACGAATGCCGAAAATACCACGGCTGACTAATGACTCATGTTGGCTGCTTTGCACTCGGCACTGGGATTCTAGTTTCCAATGGCCTGCCCAGGACAAGGGCATGAAAGAAGCAGAGCGCGAAGAGTGTTGCCTGCAGAAGCTCCAAGACACTGCAGCTTGGAATGACATCGATTGTGGTTTAGGTTTAGCGTTTAGGGGCTCAAGATGGCTCAAGGCTTGTCCACAGTATGACGGAAGACCTTTACCAGTACTGCCTGAAGTTTGTAGCTGCCCTCCCGCCTTTCTGGATACTAAGTGGGGGTTTCCGAAAATAGGGGACCCTAATATAGTACCCTAAATAATAGGATCCTTATTATAAGGACCCCAAAATAAGGTACCCTAATTTTTGGAAACTCACAAGTGGTGATGTCAGATGGCCTTGTACTCCCGGGGCTTATGACAGGCATCCACCTGGTCCTGCTCGGGACTGAGAGTCTCTACTGGGAACAGCCAGAAATGAACCGACTGTACTGGCTGTCCTGCGAGAACTTTGCGTAGGAGCGCCGCAAGTTCGACTTCAGGTCTGTCGGTGCCTGAATTGGTATGCAATTCCTTTGCGAAGCAGCCGGAAGACTTCGTCCTCAAAGCTTGTGATTTCGTGTGGCCTCGTCCGCGATCTTGATGCATTTCTGCAGAATCGCCTGTGTAGCACAGCATCAACATAAGCTTTCTTGCGAGGTGTAGTGTAGGGAGCACAAGTTCTCCACTACATTGACATGAATCTCTGCATGCTTGGACTTGCTGCCTCCGGCAGTAGTGGCCAGAGTGGGCCCTGCAAGGCGCTGGGAGGCTCTGAGGTGAGGATACACCTTGGCCAATGCAACCGTCTGCGGCGGCCCTCGCACTTCCTTGACTCCTTATTGGGGTCTCCTGGGCTTGCGCGCCGGAAGTTGGGATGGACAAACTCCTCAATCAACTCCAGGGATCGTTCCAGCTGCTTCAGCCATTCCTGTGGAAGGAGACGGGGACGGGCTTGATGGGTGGCAGGCTACCGCAAAAAGCCCACAAACAAAGATGCCTGCATGAGATGGATGTTTTGCAACACCACCCAATGCCCATCGCGTGCGCATTTGTTGATGGCATTGATAGCAACCTCATGCGTGGTCCAACGCATGTCAGGACACAAGCTGCAGCGAGAGTTCCTTCTGGAAGGGATGGTGCTGTACCGGGGAGAGTGTGTGCGTATATCAGCCTGGCAAAGGCAGCTGGGCTGCAGACGTTCTCTTGCCCCTGACCCATGGAGATGTTATGGAGGCTTCCAGCAGCCTGCAGCAAAATTGAGAAGAAGAAGCGGAAGGCGCCATGCGGCGTTGATGTTATCGCAGCACAATGCGACGAAGCTGTCGGGAGACACATTTCCGACTGCTTCAGCACCTTAAAGCCCAAGACCATGAAAACCGAATCCTAAACCCTACGGGATTCTGTCGAAGGCCCCGCCTGCGTCAAGCCGAGCTCTGCCGCCGTTGCTTCGATGACTGGGGTAGGATCTGTTCCTGGGAGTGGTTGGGACACTCTGAGACTTCTGGATGCGACAGCTCAGTTTCTGCGCTTCGCATCTCGGTGGTGGGGCAGCCGGCAAAAATGCCCAGTGCTAAGACCGGAACCAGGGAAAAGGACGAAGAAAATTGGGGTGAGGCACGTCGACTCCTCGCAGTCAACAGAGTCACAGCCATTGCTCGTATACCAAACTAATGCGGAGCTCTGGAGGAATCGCGATAAGCGCACAAAGACTGAGGCTATGACCATGATGGACAGTGTGAACGCAAACCCAAACAACATCCAACAACTCTGATGCCAAGAGTACAGGAAGCAGCGTGAAACTGACAGCAACGGCAGCAACAGTTCTGACCACGATCGTAGTCTAGTTGTAAGACTAAGAATGAAATTACTCGCAACCATCACCTTTCAACAAAATAATGCGTACTACTAGCTACTAACTACTAATAACTACTACTACTACTACTACTACTACTACTACTGCTACTACTACTACTACTACTACTACTACTACGACAACGACGACGACGACGACGACGACTACCACTGCTACCATACTCCTGCTGCTGCTAGTACTACTCCTCCT